CGAAATTGGAGATGGTCTAAGATGTACTGGAATAATTTAAATAATTAAATCAGCTGGAGATCGTAAAATATATGAAGATGAAAGTACCGAGATTAATGGATTTGTCTTGTCTGGTTGCGAAGAGTATCTAAAAGCAATCTATTTGAACAGTTCCTTTTCTCAGACAGGTTAGAGAATCAAACCACATAAATGTTTAAAATTTCTTTTATCGCACGACGTTTCGGTCTCAACAATGACCTTTTTCAAGTACAATTGGCACGTTTGACAATGTGTTTTGTTTATCTGTCATCCACACACGTTGTTTTTTTTAGTTGGTGCGCCAACTGGCGAGGAAGAATGTAATCACGGTAATTTTTTTTAGATGTTATATGACATGACACGAAAAACCTGTCACTCATTTGCGTCTGTCGGTCTGTCCGCCCATAACTTAAGAAGTACCGCTCAGGATTTTGTTGAAATTTTCACATGAGGTTGCTACTATGTATGAGCCACTTCAGTTGGCCCAACTATTGAAATCTTAGTTTTTTTCTTATCAAACACAAATAATAAAAATGTAGCAGGGTGTTATAGGTTTGAAATATTAACAATGAATATTTTGATAATATATAGTAGAAAACATATCACTCCCTAATCAAATTTGCAGCATAAAAATTACACATGTTGCAATTACAGCATATCAACGTATTTTCATTTAAATGCATTATAAGTCTATAACGCATAGGTGGCTGTGAAAAATAAAAGCCATGACGATTGTTTTTATTAATCACAGCTGTCAGAATACGTTTAAAATAGTTTTGGGTAGTTAAGGTTTTCAAAATAGGTAGAGGAAAGGTTATTAGTAATAAAATTCGGTTACTGATAATTAAATTTTTTAATTCCGGGAAATCAAACTCAGAAATGGCAACTTTGTTAGACTCATCGCGGTACAGCGTGAGAAATATTGTTAGAAGATATAACGTAACCGGTAAAGTTAATATTAAGCCACGATATGTGAAAAAAAGTAATATCACAAATGCATAGCATTAAGAAGAATAATCGTCATGCCAATTATTTACAATTAAGTGCTCTGTGGAGTGACGCTGTTGAAAGGTGAATTTCGAGGTCCACAACTCATAGAGAGGCCCACAAACTGGGATTTAGCACTTGCAAGTAAGTTTGCTTATAAAAAAAAGTGAAGTAAAAACCCTAAAGTTGCACAACTTGTTTATAGGCCAAAGAAAAGCCACTATTAACTCCACTGCAAAAGAAAAATCGGCTTAGATTGGCTAAAGAACATAGACAATGGACACTTCAACAATGGTGTGCAATACAATGGATTGATGAGGCCCGATTCGAAGTTTGTGTTGGTGACAGTCGCAGTAGAGTTATTCGCAAAAAAAATTAAGCATTCCATGTTGACTGTCTGAAGAGAAAAGTGAAATTTCCAGCATCCATTATGGTCTGGGGCAGTATGACATCAAAAGGAGTAGGAAAACTTCATTTTATTGATGGAAATGTGGATACAGACAAATATTTGGCAATTTTAGAAGAATCGCTTTTACCAGTGATGGAGGAATGTTTGACATCCGGCCAAGATTTTCTGTTTCAGCAAGATGGTGCAGCGTGCCATCCCTCAAAAAAGGCTATAAAATGGATGGAAGAAAATAATGTACCACTTTTGAAATGGGTTTCTAGCAGTCCAGATCTGTCACCTATTGAAACTTTGTGGCACGAGATGAAAAAGGTTCTACGACAACATCCTGCTCGTACAATCACCGAACTGAGACAAAAGCTTCAAGAAATATGGGATTGTTTTACACCAAATTTTTGCCCAAACTTGGTTAACACTATGCCCCAAAGAATTTCAGCCGTAATAAAAAAGAAAGGTGATGTTACGCAATGGTAATCTTTCAACTGTTGCTTTGTTAACTTCGCGCATTTATTCGCACATTGTTTATTTGTTCAGATGTTCTATTAGTTATAGGTCTAAGTGATTTCAAATATGTATTTTTTACGACTAGAGTGTAATGTTTTTGAGAAAATAAATTGTTTTAGAAGTAAATAGTTTCGTCATGTTTAGTGTATAAAGGCATATTTTGGTACAACACAAAGTGGGCCAACTGAAGTGGGAAGGGGCTCATATTCGGTCCAGTTTAGATGGAGCTAAAGGCAAAAATAAGAAAAAGAGGTTTCTGGTCAAGAATTTTTTAGAGGTTGAAACTGGGGGTTGGAGGTAGTAGGGGGTAGGTAAATGTTAAAAAAAATCCAATAATGTGCTCATAATTCGAAATAACTTGCAATCTTACTGGAATCCACTGCCGACTGTGCAATGGGTAACAAACTCCAACTGGTGAATCTGCGGTGGTGTCGTCACTGACACAACGCTTCATGAGAAATATTTGTATATTTTAACAACATTTAGATATAAGGAGTACGTATCACTTTAGCGTCCTGCGATGATTTAGTAAATAATGACGTAACTGTCTTTATACTGCACAAATATTTTTATGAATCATATGATCCTTAAAGATACAATTCGCCTGACCTCTCTATGTTAATCCGTCTATGATGGTTCTCTGAATATTTTGTCGCGTAGATTGACTCAGTACTTATGATGCATTGATATACAACAGACACAGACTGACAAAGCGACATATACTAAGTGACATATAAATCCGAACACCCAGTTTAAATGGTTTTATTTTAATAAAAGTTGGTGAATGTATTTATCTTACTGTAAGTAACAAGTGACAAAATTTTCAGCCTTATCAGTTGGACATTCCGGTTTTTATACTGCTTTTTTTTAATTCACTAACGCTCTAAAAATGAATATTTCAGCCGCAGTAAAGAATCAACGTTGGCGGATTTTGGTTCTTGACATCCTTTACGATCGGTTACGATGCCTAGAGTACGGAGACCTGTACGATTTCGTCAACTTAGTGAGTTTGATAGGGGCCGTATAGTGGGACTTCGGGAAGCTGGTCTTTCTTTTCGTGCAAAGAAGTGTAGACACTGTGGTTAGGTGTTGTCAGGCATGGCTTTGAGAACGCCGTGCGCAAGAGCAAGATTATTGGCCTTAAGGGACCGTTTCTCCACTAGCAGGTCCATTGCAAATGAATGGTTTGCAGAATACGGAAGACCTATTGGCATGCGAAGTGTTTACCGACGAATGAGAAGTTTTGGCTTGTTTTCATACCGGCCACACTGGGTCCTCCCTTTAACTCGAGAACACCGACGTAATCGCCTTGAGTGGTGCAGACAACGGTCACTCTGGGATCAGGAATGGAACAGTATTGTCTTTAGTGACGAGTCTCGATTTTGCTTAGGCATGCACGATGGTCGTGCCAGGGTTAGAAGGTGACGTGGTGAAAGGAGGAATCCACAGTTTTTTGTTGAAAGACATGTTCATCACACTGTTGGAGTTATGGTTTGGGGTGCTATAGCTTATGGTTCCAGGTCACCTTTAATCTTCATCAGAGGTAACATGAACGCGCAGCGTTATATCCACGAAGTTCTAGAACCCCATCTTTTACCCTATCTTGACACCCTGGCAGATCCAACTTTCCAACAAGATAATGCCCGACCACATGTTGCAAGAGTCACAATAGACTTCTTTCAACATAATGATGTCACATTGTTACCATGGCCACCAAGATCTCCCGATTTATCCCCAATTGAGCACGTGTGGGATATGATGGGTAGGAGATTGCTCAATTTGCAACGTCCTCCTCAGACTCTAGAAGCACTTCGAGAGGAGTTGGTGGTTGCCTGGAATGAGATACCACAGGAGGACATTGACCACCTGATCAGAAGCATGCCTAGGCGCGTTGGAGAATGCGTACCACATGAGGGTGCATCCACACATTATTAAAGGTCAAAGGGCTTTAAAGCAGTGCAATCATTTTGAAATTTTTATCATTTACTTATTATGCTTCATTAAGTACTTATACAAAATTTTATTAAAATAAAACCATTTAAACTGGGTGCTCGGATTTATATGTCACTTAGAATGAGAAACATGTACTTGTGTAATTGTCTTTAAGCAACTGAAGACTTGTGAGCTGAAGTACAAATATTATCGCTAGTTCAATACTTCCATCGCTTAGGTAGTCGTAGATTTTGAAAATTGATTTAGTAGCGGAACTACGGACAATAAAATAATGTTACAACGCTTCAGCGATTCCTACTTATTTTCAGAGATTTTTTAGATGGAAATTGTACATTGGAAGCTGTATGTGGTAAATGGTTGTAAATTGTGGCATATTTGGTCTCAGTGAAAGATCTTCTATTATTAAGAAGCTCAGTGATACTATGCACCTATTAGACATAATAAGTCATAAATATTTTCACTACATCTTCCAAGGAAATAGAAATATGATTTATTTCATATAGTTTGATATGCAAAGTTCGGAGATTCATCGTACCAAAGCGAACCTACCTAATCACGATTCGATTCCGCCTCTTAAAACGTCTTGACTGATCCTTTTTCTTTGAAACCCCGAACGAAGCAGTATTGAGTATAGAGTCAATCTACTTGATGCCATTTTTTCTTTCATTTACACATTCCTTGCTGCAATGGTCCTGTAACATGCGAAGTCATCTTCCCAATTTTAAGATGTTTAATAGTTACGAACATGTACCTGTACAGTGAAGAAGTTGAATGGATCAAGTCAGTCAAACAGGCTCGTACAATTAGTCCATAGACATTCTCATCTGCCAACGTTACCCCCTCCCATATCGCCCCGGATGGAGAGTAACTACCGGTGGGGCAAGGAAAGTCTATGGATTAATTTTGTCGTTTGTTGTTTGACTTAATCCGTTTAAGTTATATGTTTTACTTTTTCGTAACTATTTTTTTCTCAGAGGGCTTAACTTGAGCTGAGCTCAGTCCTTTATAAACTGATGACGAACTTGCATAGGCATTGCAGAGTCAACCTACTTGACGCCATTTTGCACGCTTCAGCTTATAGGCTGACCATAACAGCAACTGTACCATCTCTTATTGCTTCATTTAATTGCAGAATTCTAACAGTCCAACATTCTCCGTCTGCCTGATGGTCTTAATATCAGCCGCTTCAGCCCAACGCGGTTACGGCCTCCAGAAAACCACCCTGGACGACATAGAACGCGACTACACGACCACATCGAAGCCCAAGCAGACCACTGCGAAAGTGGTGGCTCCAGTTCAGTCGCCCACCCAGTATGGCTTCGTCCCCATCAAAACTGCCGCGGACTACGCTAGAAACGTACCAAAGCCTCTGTTTTACTCCCAGGGTACACAACAGTACTCACCGTACGCTAAACAGCAGTACTACCACCAACAGGGTCAACACTATAGAGGGAACGGTGTAGGAACAAAACCTAGCGCGACACAGGTGATCATAGTTGTTGATGATGATTATGATGATGAAAAATGCGATAAAGACAAATAGACAACAAGACATTAGGGACAAAAAACAGTTATCAATCATTAGATAATCTACATAATATCTAATAATCGTACTCGTGTATCTTTTTGTTTTAGAGCCGTTTTACACACAAGAGAATTACTCCGAAAATTATGGTCATAATTATGCCGAAAATTTGCATGGAAAAAATATTGAAGATTTCCTCTACAACCCGTATGACACAAGGAAACAAAATTTCCTAGTAATTCATATGATACACAGGCGCATTACAGTAATATTTTCGAATGGACATAACCTTAACGGGTATGACGCCCAATATAATCGAAAAGACAACAGACGTCGTTGATTTAAATTTATTTTTGAAATCGAGATCTTGGTTAATATTATAAAACTTAGAGTATCGCATCCAGAGCCTGACGCCGCAAATTTCTGTTTTTGTAATTTTGTGACTTTACCTTGTACAGATTTGGCCATTTTTGGTACTCCTCCAACAACAGTGTGACTTCTTCCCGATTCCACGACATTATGAATAAACAATAACAATGAACGCTTCTTCGTACGACTCGAACAGGACCACACCCACAAATGTTAAGTGAGGTTATGTTGTTGACGTTGACATTTGATAATGACATGCACGGAAATAACCCTCTGCGCCGATTCTCGCGCGTATTCTATAGAACGGGTTTTATATTTTTATCATGAACATTTTCATAAGAATTCATTTACGTGTAATACGACAGCAAAAATTTTCGGCATAATTATGACCATAATTTTCGGAGTAATTCTCTTGTGTGTAAAACAGCTCTTAAAGACGCGTTGAACCGTTTTAGACATTTTAAGCAGGATGATCAATACATTTAATGACATTTTATGCCATTATCAAAAGCTATTTTTCTTACTTAGAAAATGTTTTATTTGCTGTATGTACGGTCAACTTACAGAAATATATTTTTTTATCATGCCATCTAGCAAAAAACCTATGGAATTTGTCAGAGGAATGCATTTATTATAATAGCGTCTCTGAGACAGTAAAGCTCGATTGTATCGCTCTATAGTCTTTTCCTGCCCGAAGTGTGAGACTCTCAGAAAATACGGCATACTCACTAAGATCCCCCAAACATTGACTACACGTTTCACCACAGTAATGCTTGCAAGATTCGGTCATGGTGGGTAGCGTTGCTCTAAGGATTCAGCTGAAGCCAATGATTGGAGACAATTGGAAGCTGCTTAAGAGTTCTTTCTTTAATGAGGCCGTCCTGTATCATGAATATTGAGCCTAAGGTATTGTTTTCGATCGAGGACGGGGGATACGATTGTTCGCGCCACGTTGCCGCCAAACTTGATCTATGCAGGGTGATTTACAAGTTTCAATGGCCAACTGCTTATGCACGTATTGACACGACGTTTAAATGCAAGCTCATACTTAGCTTTTCTAGCGAATTACATAGAAAATGTGTTAGATGATGTTCCATTAGCAACGAGCGTACAAATATGGTATCCTGATTTGAACCCCCTGGATTTTTTTTTGTGAGACGCTTTTAAAGAACTGGTGTATGCCGAACAAATTAATTGATCAGTTACAAAAAAGAATATTTTACGAAAACAATGCGTACTGCTTTTGCTGTCTTTTAAGTTTTGCATACAGAAACATAGTAGGCCGCGCGGATCGAACGTCAGTACTGAATCTTAACCTCATTCTTTAGTAAACTTAAATTCAAAGTTTCACAACAATACGTGCAGTGTTCTCACTACAGTGAATTTTTAAGTGTCACCAAGTCATTAGAAAAATCGAACTCAACCGAGAACATTTTCGCGCCATAATTTATTACAACTTTCAGAGACAATTATCGCAACAAGAATGCCTTGATGAGTTACTGTCTGTTTTCGGCAACGAAGCGCCACATCAGTCGACAATTTTCCGTTGGTATGAAGAATTCAAACGTAGACGGGTGAGTCTTAGCGACGATACCAGGGTGGGTGCACAAAAAATGGCAGTCACCCAGGAAAACGTCGATGCTGTCCGCAAACTCATCATTGAAGATAGACATGTGACATATCGCGAGATTGAGGCGTCCTTGAAGATCTCAAAGACCTCAATTCAAAAAATTTTACATGTAGAATTAGGAGTAAGAAAATTAGTTCAATCAACCCCGAAAGAAGAATCATCCTCCACCAAGACAATGCAAGCTCGCACACAGCCCAAAGAACAAGGCAGTATTTAATGGAAGAAAACGTGGAATTATTGGACCATCCTCCATATAGCCCCGATCTAAGTCCTAACGATTTCTTTACTTTCCCGAAAATTAAACTAGACTGCGTGGTCAAAGACTCCAGTCACCAGAAGAAGCAGTTGACGCATTCAAAAATGCCGTTTTGGATCTGCCAGCAAACGAGTGGAATAAGTGCTTCGAAAATTGGTTCGAGCGCATGCAGATGTGTATACTTCGAAAAACAATAAAGTCATTTAAAACTACCTACCGTGTTGTTTTATTTCCATATGCAAAACTTAAAAGACATCCCTCGTAAAGACTTTTGAACATTCCAGATGACAATTTTGAAGATATTAAAAAAAATAGTTTTTTTTTGAATCTTCAACACCCCGTATCTTTTTAATGAAGCCCTAGAAAAAAAATGTTACATAGAAGACCCCCTAAAAATGCCATCCTTGTGAATCACCCTGTATAGGGCATGTAGGTGCTCGTCCAAATACAATACACCCGGTTTTAGTTACAAGTGTTTTGCTGTTTGGATTCATTTAGCACGAACAAATCATCTGCGTATTGTGACATGGTTTATCCTGCAATGTTTTCTACCAGCAGAGCAGCAAAGTATAGCCTCCACAGATAGCGCCCGAGGATAGATCCCTGTGGTACTCCGTGGCGTTGGTAGCATATTTTTTGTTTTGGCGCGTGATTCTCAGACGAGCAATATAATTTTAATAACATTATTATTGATGTCCGTTAGTTGTAACTTATAAATAAGAGCTATACATTAAAATACGATAGTGACAGAATGAGGGAAAACACACAGGGACATCCCACTTTGATTTCAACACCGCAATACGAACCATCGATGACTTTTTCAGGCCTACACCTTCCCACTTCAATACGACTTACCGTTCGCTCGGCCTCAGAAACCTTCACAAACTGCCACCCAGTACTATCAACCACAACAGTACCACACTACTCAGCAATACCCAGCTACCCAGCAATACCCAGCTACTCAGCAATACCCAGCTACTCAACAATACTCGGCTGCTCAGCAATACACCGCCCCGAAGCAGCAATATACTGCACCCCAAGAAAGCTCGTATCAAAAGAATGTTCAATATGTAACGGATAACAGTTTAGCTAGCCAGCAGCCCCCGAAGAACGTACAGTACGTGACTGATAACAGTATCGGAAACCAACAACCGCAGCAATACTACACCCCGCAGTACGTGAATTTTCAACAGGATCCAGCATCCAGTACTTCCGTACAGACTTTTGTCGATCCAAAAGGTAAGAAATCAAATATATACGGTGTCCGTAATAGTTATCAGAAAAATATAAAAAAATGTTAGTCGTGTACTTTACAAATCATGTGTTGTAAGAAATCGGAAAAATCTACACCCTGTGATGATCTTATAGTTTCCATTACTACAAATTTCAATTTTTCCTTAGTCGGAGTGACAGACAATGAAAAAATTGAAATTTGTAGCAATGAAAAGGTCATCTCAGGGTGTATGTGTATAATTTGAAAAGTACACGACTTAGATTTTTTCATATTTTTCTGATCGCTGTTATGTTTAGAGTCTCGGTGGAAGTGTTTTCGAATCTCGCATGCCACATATTTTCACATGCCACACTGGAATTTTATTTTTTGTGATTCTTGTCATCGTTTGTTACTGTGCTGTCGCCTTTGGCAATTAATTAATTTAATTAAGACGAGTCTTGAAAAAATAATGGTTAATAACGAAGAAAAAGGTAAATATTACAGTCAAAACTCATAACCGCAGGGTTATACTTGAAAATATATATATATGTCAAGAAATGTAAAATATCAACTTGTTGACAGACAATGAAAGAATTGAAATTTGTAGCAATGAAAAGATCATCTCAGGGTGTATGTGTATAATTTGAAAAGTACACGACTTAGATTTTTTCATATTTTTCTGATCGCTATTATGTTTAGAGTCTCCGTGGCGGTGTTTTTGAATCTCGCATGCCACATATTCTCACATGCCACACTGGAATTTAATTTTTTGTGATTCTTGTAATCGTTTGTTACTGTGCTGTCGCCTTTGGCAATTAATTAATTTAATTAAGACGAGTCTTGAAAAAATAATGGTTAATAACGAAGAAAAAGGTAAATATTACAGTCAAAACTCATAACCGCAGGGTTATACTTGAAAATATATATATGTCAAGAAATGTAAAATATCAACTTGTTGACTAGATAGCTGGTAGTGTGCAAACAGTTGACATCTTGTAGGAAGACTTATATAATGTCAAAAAACCGACATTATGTCACATTTACGTAATACCTCTACCGGTTAAAAAACGGAAAGCGAGAGCAACTCCCGCACAGCCACGGTCCTGAAGGCATAGTCTTCAGAACGGAGGATAAGGTCGAGGTTTTCGCTGATACCATGGAAAAACAGTTCTCTACCAACTATTATCTTTATAATGACTTCGACGAGGAACAGCAGATCGTACGATCCGTCAGGAGATATTTTAGGGCCAGCGGCGTTAGCGGAAGCACTGAATCCTCTTCAGATGACTCTTCTTCAAAAGATTCGTCTGAGGCTCCACATAGCACATTAGCGGAACCCTCCGAGTTTCCACATTGCACACCAGCGGAGCTCCTAAGTCATATTAAAGACCTCAAGGTGCGTAAAGCACCTGGGGAGGATAAAATCACCAACAAGGCGTTGAAGCTGCTCTCGCCGAAAGCCCTGACATATTTGGTGACAATAATCAATGCGACGCTCAGAATCCAGTACTTCCCTGCTGGATGGAAGACTGCTGAGGTCATCATGATTCCAAAGGAGGTGGGTTCGATATTTCCTCAGGATTACCGTCCCATAAGTCTGCCGTTATCTCCTTCTAAGCTCGCCAAAAAGGTTATTTATCTTCACCTTGAGAATTTTTCGTCAAATCACCATGTGATTCCTGACGTTCAATTCGGTTTTCGGTCCGAGCATAGCACCGAGCTACAGGCAGTCAGGCTGGTGGAACATGTAACCAGAGGGTTCACCCTCAGCAAGAATACTGGCATCTTGCTTTTGGATCGCTCAAAGGCCTTTGACAAGGTGTGGCACGCCCTTTATAAACTAATCCAAAAGGGTTTTCCTTTTTGGCTTCTAAAATTACTCAAATCCTTTCTTGGAGGAAGGAAGTTTCGGATCAAAATTAACAATGTTTTGTCAACAACACGGCCAGTACGGGCCGGTGTTCCTCAGGGTTCGGTCCTAGGACCAATCCTTTATTCGCTTGTTATCCATGATGTCCCTTGCCCCAGCAACTGTGAGGTCTACCTCTATGCTGACGACACTGCACTTGTCGCCCAGTCGTGTACTGATGATCTGGTTCACGATGGGTTGCAGAGTGCGATAGAAGAAGCACTAGAGTGGACGGAACGGTGGCTGATTAGAATTAACCATTCGAAAACGCAGGGTATTTATTGTACCAAAAAACGTGACTGCAAAAATCAATCAAAAACGGTTTTGGCCTATCTCCTTAGTCAAAAACAGTTTTGTCTAATTTTGCAGTCAAACGTGGTTTTGACATCCTTGGTCCTTTTTCTTGCACAGAAAAAAGTTTGTAGTGTAATTCCAAGTGCCATAACAGTTTAGGCTGTGCAAACAAATAGCTACAGCAGCTAACACCAACCAATAAGTTTAACTTTAACACCTACTTAAGAAATTTAACTTTTTTATTTCATTTTCTTTTCGTAGTGTTAGTTTATTATTTATCACAAAAGATAATCAAATTAAGTAAAAAAAATGTTTATTTGCTTTATTATATTAAACGATATCGTCATCACACGCCGTTTTTTTTTTGTATAATGAACTTCACGTAGCTGCTCCCTAACGCCACCTATTGTTTGTTGTTTTAATTACATCGATCAACGCCAACCGCGTTAACGGAATGATTTGATAAATGTCAGACAGCATGTGAATAGCCAAAATATGAATAAATTAAAATGGTGTGAATTTAATTTATAGATATATTCTTAATTTAATTATTTTCAAAGCGAATATAAGAATATGACAGTCTTAGTTCGTAATTGTAATCATTTTTGACTTGTCTGAGCTATGAAAGATACAGTGTTGTTTATGCAAAATACCGAAATCATTTGATAGATATTTCCTGGTCTATTTCGTATTTCCACGGCTCATAATGTACGTAATTTTCAGGAGGTCTGCAGTACATAATGTTCATCCCCCAATCAGCCGTCACTACCACCAATGACCAGCCCCAAAAATACGAGAATGTGGCCTACACCACTAGTTCAGAAGATGCAACGGATAACCAAAAGTATCAACAAGTACAGTACGTTAGTCAGAAAGAGCAAGAAGCACCAGCAGGGCAGCACTACGTGTACCAGTACGAACAAAAAGAGGAAAAAGAACCTGCTGCTCCTGGAGTGCAATACGTCGTGCAGCCGCAGTACGAACAGAAGGAGCAACAGGTATGGAAATTCTGACAAAAAAATTGACAAACTCTATCTACGAGGGCGGTCCCATAAGTACGTAGCCTACAAAGGAAAAACGAAAATTTTGGAAAGGTGGCGATTTGTTTCTCAATATAGTCCACACTTAGCTCGATACATTTTAATCAGCCGTCTGAAAATTACGTTTTCTGGAGGTCTACAAAGTTAGCAGACTAATATTCAGCGCATCTGCTATCTCCTGTACGCATGAAGTTGGTAAGAAGGGACCTCTGTTTTCATTCTCTTCCTGACAATACTCTAATAAATTTAGCACCTTCTCCATTGTTCGTATTAATAAGTTGACCATCAAGGAAACCAAGTCTCAGATGATTATTCTTAGCTTGAGGCAGCACGACACTAATATACTAAAGTCCGTGAAGTTACTAGGAGTCTACCTTGATGAACACTTGTCGTGGGAAACTCACGTAATCGATGTTCTCGATGCACTAGCAAAATATACAGGGTGACTTTGAAGTTGAGTCATTAATTTTCAGATAATGATTGTAGAAGGAAGATAAACCAAAATATGTGTGTAAAAATAAAATAAAAATAAAAAAAAATTTTTACCTTGTTTTATAAAGTATCCTCCCGACAAGTATTTCAGTGCGGACCTGTATTTGATCGTGAGGTGCCCTGTGAGGTCTTAAGTCACCTGATTCACGAGCCCGTTGTACTACATTAACAAAGGCACGAGGGGTTGGTTGCACTCGATTGGGAAACCGATCCGCATAAACATGTGCCATTTTTTATTTCGTTTGAGCCACGCAACAGACACTATTCACTCGCGACTGACACTGACTGTATGTATAACTGAACTGAATGAAATAAAAACATCGTTCCAAATTCTTTCGCTTTTTTGTTTCCGATGCGATGAACCGATAAGGTGGATTATATCCGTTGTTGCCAAACACGAGTACATGATATTATTATTGAGACAGGGCGGTACTCAAACTTCCAAAGGGCTATAACTTTGTTACTTTAATTTTACCAGAAAAATGGTAAAGGAAAAAAACATTTCTTTTGATCAGATCTACTCACTGTTAAAATAAATGACTCAACTTCGAAGTCACCCTGTATGTGTATATATGTATATATGCGTGTGTGTGTGTAGAAGTAAACATACGTATTGTGGTTAAATGAATATGCGTGTATCTATGTACGTATATATGTCCTCCTGTTTTTACAACTTTTATGGACTGTATCTGCTTTTATTGAATCATAACGTCATAAGTTGATGTTTTTCTGTGTAATTTGAACATCAGTCTTTTGTCAGACTGCTTTTTTGTATTAATTTTGTTTTTCTTTTGACTTGTATAAACACGCTGGTGTATTTAACACAAATAAAGAATTGAATTGAATTGAATTTCCGGGCACTTTATATTGAAGATTGATAACAGGACAACTCGAATTGCACGCCGTTGTCAAGTAGCTTGTCACTCTGACAAATATGATTGAAGGGCACTCAGACGTAACGACAAAGTTTTCGAGACGGAGACACACAGCTGAAAGCGTGATATTTTTTGGTGAAAAATGGATTTGTTGCAGATATCACTAGCTGCCATTTACAAACCGTAAAATAAAACAAAGTAAAAACAAAATGTTTGACATATTTTTTCACTTTTAGGTGCAGTACATCCAAGCAAAACAACAATACGCTAAATCACCTGAATACATCATCAAAAGAGAACCGAAAAGCCTACTGGACTCTTACATCCCATCATCTGTCCAGCTGGAGTACTACAAACAGCTACAGCAAAACGCCATCAGGGACACCGTCAAAGTACCGCAGGTGTTCAGCGGCAAAGCATATACGTCGCAAACTGCCAGCACTGAAGATTCAACTCCAGAAGTATCCAAACAGTACGTCACGAAGTATGTTCCACAAGGTACTACGAAACGGTACGCTTACAGAGGGTGAAACTGTATAATGATGGTCGAATGAATGAGATATGTTTGTGAAAATCTACCATTATTTCTAAATTCTCTCCTTGCAGGATGGCAGGTACAATTTAAAATATGAAAGTTCTAAAACAGGATTACAATGTGCCATCCACCATCCAGGTAGCATCAAAGGATGAGGCTTTCACATACATACCTCAATTATTTTGTTGTTTTCTGTGATTTTTTTGTATTGGAATGTCATCTCTGTAAATTAAGGGGTGAAGTAGAATATAGTATATATAATTATATTAAAAGAAGTATTTCGTGCTATGTATGTTCTTATATAGAGCTCAAAGTCTGGATTACCTGAGCTAACGAACAATGAACTTAAATGAAAGCCAGTATTCGTTAACCTATTTGTATATGCTTATATTTTGTTACCAATATAACCAATTTTTATAAATTAAGTAGTTTTATTTGGGACCTGATTGAAGTAAAATACGGAGTCGAAAAATAATTGTTAGAACCCATTAAAAATGATAAAACAACTTTTGGTGCAGTTTTGAGTGTATCAGGATGCACTTTCTTTAAAAGTGGTCCTTTTAAATGCTCTACAAAAAACATATTCAGAATATTTTCGCGGATGTGAAGATACTTCCCGGACAAGAATAAACCTGAAGACAGTATACAAATTACTTAAGTACTCCAAGATTCATGTTTTAGTAACCACGAGAGACCAAATAATAATGGCAATAACAACAATGTTTATTGGTTTAACTACTACTAAAATTTTCGTATAGTCCAATAAACATGAGGTACCTAAAAAAGTAGTTAGACTGAACTTATGAACTACATATATACGTATATATATATATAGGTGAAAAATTAAAGCTTCTGCCTTTTGTTGGGTACTTCGACAAAATTTAATCAAACAGGACTCTTTATACTTTTTTTAATTCTCTCTAGCTTTCAATGGACTTTGCCATCATCATCAGGAGCTGCAATTACAATGATAACAGTAGCAACAAAAGTGTAAAATGAATTTAAATTGAATCAACTTACAGTAGTATGTGAGGATGTTGCTAATTGTTGTTTTCGTATAGGATGAGGGAAACGTCCAGTAACATGGTCAGAGCTGGATACAAGGTACAATGGTTAAAATTATATAAAATATGACAAGACAAGTTAAAAACAGATTAAAAATTATTTAGAAAACATTAGAGCATTACGTCGTGAAGCCACTTGATGATTGCACAAAATGGTGGTCATGGAATAATGAGTGAGATGAACCTTTGACAGAAAGCCGAAGGTTGTCAATGTCTGTGTTGAAAGATGGAACGAATTGTGGGCGTGTGCCAAAACGTTGCCAAAACATTTCAGATGATGTGATTTTCAGAATGTTATGTAAGAAATTGTTAAACCGACCAGAGGCAGTTGAATAAACTATATTTTAATTAATGGGAATTTTAAATTTACAATTATTAAGAAATTGTGAGAAGAGAATTATTAGATTTTGAGTGGAATAAAATTTGTTGGTGGAATCGGCCAAAACACAGATTATATTTATGGTTGTGAAAAGTCGAAATTTGGGGAGATATGTAAGTTCACCAATTTTTCGCAGTTTAGCAAATATGAGTAAATGACACTCAGTTGTTTAATATCTGTCTTTTTGTTGATACAGTTGTTATTCATGAAAATGTGGGACATTTCCAGGAATAAACGTTTGGAAAGGTGTTTTTCTTTATCAAGAACTTTGATACTTGTGTAATTCATAGAATGCCCTGTTGTGTTAACATCAGATGCTAGAGCGCATCTCTCAGGATGAAGCCTAGCATCACTTTTGTGTGATGTAATCCTTCCTTTAAGAGATCTAGAGGTCTGACCTATGTATATTTGGTTGCAGTTGTTGCAATTGATGGAGTAGACTGTGTTAGTTAAGCCAAGCAGCGGGACTTTGTCTTTCATTTTTGAAAAAATGCGGTTTATAGTGAGGACGGATTTGCAAGCAATTCGAAAGTTCAAAGGACTGCACAATCTGATCAGCTTAGGGGTCAGTTCTTTGATATAGGGCAGGACAGCAAAACCAGGTCTGGAGTCTGGGTTGGTGCTTGTACTGTTTGGATTGATGCTATTATTGGGAATTACATCAGTTCCGTTATTATTAGGGGTTGTGTGACTATTACCTGCATCACCAGAGTTCGGCAAAATATTGGAAGGTGAACTAAATAAGATCTTGTTAATCAGACACTTCGGATAACCATTATTGATGAACAGTTTTGATAGTTTATGTAAATTTAAAATATAACCTCTTCTTCATAAAAAAATACGTAGATGACATTATTTTATGCCTCCCCTCCATAGGTTTGGATGGTATTGTCAGAGAATTCAACAGCTATGACCCCTACATCCAATTTACCATTGAAAAAGAAGATGAGAACCTGTCTGTCCCCTTTCTAGACACAAGACTCATCCGCACCAACAACAACAATTTATTGGTAGACTGGTACCAGAAACCTATGGCCTCAGGTCGGTTTCTCAATTTTAGGTCATACCATAAGCTAGGGATTAAAATCAATTTGGTAAAACAGATGAAAACAAGGGTAATTAGCATCTCAGATAATACTTTCCACACCTCAAATTTACAAAATTTGAGAACTTACATATCTCCCCAAATTTTGACTCTTCACAACCATAAATAGAATCTGTATCTTGGTCGATTCCACCAGTAAATTTCATTCCGCTCAAAATCTAATAATTCTCTTCTCACGATTTAATAATAATTGTCAATTTAATTTCCCATTAATTAAAATAGAGTTTATTCAACTGCCTCTGGTCGGTTTAACAATTTCTTACATAACATTCTGAAAATCACATCATCTGAAATGTTTTGGCAACGTTTTGGCACACGCCCACAATTCGTTCCATCTTTCAACACAGACATTCGGCCTTCTGTCAAAGGTTCATCTCACTCATTATTCCATGACCACCATTTTGTGCAATCATCAAGTGGCTTCACGACGTAATGCTCTAATGTTTTCTAAATAATTTTTAATCTGTCTTTAACTTGTCTTGTCATATTTATATAATTTTAACCATTGTACCATGTATCCAGCTCTGACCATGTTACTGGACGTTTCCCTCATCCTATACGAAAACAACAATTAGCAACGTCCTCACATACTACTGTAAGTTGATTCAATTTGAATTCATTTTACACTTTTGTTGCTACTGTTATCATTGTAATTGCAGCTCCTGATGATGATGGCAAAGTCCATTGAAAGCTAGAGAGAATTAAAAAAAGTATAAAGAGTCCTCTTTGCTTAAATTTTGTCGAAGTACCCAACAAAAGGCAGAAGCTTTAATTTTTCACCTAATTGGTCTAGATGACAATGACCACGTCTCAATATATATATATATATATATATATATATATAGGGTGGCCCATCCATGTGTGGACGGAATATTACTCGTAAACAAATACATGGAGTGTTATACATGACATTTGAGAGCGCATTTCTAAAATATTGGCAATTATACAGGGTGTCTCAATTTTGACCTACATATCAAAGTTGTGATTTTTTAAATAGAATGAGTCAAATTTCATTGCATATTTGGATAAACCAATTCAAAAGAAGTGATATGACATACTATGGAGTTTTGGTAATTAGCTACTGAGATGTAAGGTGTTTTGTCCAGAAAAACTGTCCACTTCGGCAACCCCTCAATCCGCCATTTTTAAATTTGGAGTGCTGAATTTTGTATCAAAAAAAAACTTACACACCTCAGCTTTTATCTTATTTGTTGCTTTTTCGAATTTCCATTTTCGCTCATTCAGAGTGGTCAAAACCGCGAATTGTACTTTTTCTCAAACATGTCAAATGCATCACCCTGTATATTTGTGCAAGTTTGGATTCAATTTCTTATAAGCTTTTCTTTGGTGTAAGGTTTGATTCAGACAAAACCACTAGATTTTGAGTTATTAAGCTATTATAATGCTCACAAAGCTAATTTTGACAGTTTGTAAGTAATCAACAATTTATTTGTTTCCAAGGATGATGCGATACTTTAGAAAATTAAGCTGTTCCATAAAAGATGTGCTAATAACCGAAAAAATAGCCGTACAAACCCTTATGTATCTAGTAATAAAAAAAAAGCTTATCAAAAATTGAATCCAAACTTGCACAAATATACAGGGTGATGCATTTGAAATTTTTAAGAAAAACTACAATTTCTTGATACAAAATTCAGCACTCCAAATTTCAAAATGGCGGACTGAGGGGTTGGCGAAGTGGGGGGTTTTTCTAGACAGAACTAATTGTATCACAGTAGCTAATTACCAAACCCAATAGTATGTTATATCAATTTTCTTCTTATGAATTGGTTTATCCAAATATGCAATAAAATTTGAGGCATTCCATTTGAAAACAACTTTGATATGTAGATCAAAATTGGGACACCAGGTATAATGGCTAATATTTTATAAATATGCCCTCTAATGTCATGTATAACTCGCCATAAATATATTTTCCCAAAATGTATTTGTTTATGAGTTATATTCCGTCCACCCATGGATGGGCCACCCATATACATATATACAAAAAACTTCCTTCAATGAATATTTAGTAATATTGGCACATTAGTAACAATCAAAGTTTCATCGAAATCCAATGTACATAGCAAAAAAACATAATATTTAGATTTTAGCGATTTTCATTTTTCACTTATTGAGGTTAGCCCTGAAAGCGCTGGATTTACTGAAAATCGAAAATGGCAACGTTGCAAATGTTTCGTCTGTTTCTGCCCATGGGGGTGAGAAGAGAGAAATCCGCGTCGCTGAAAATACGGTCGTAACTTTCGATCAGATATCAGCAATCAAACAGGTCATCTATCATCTAGATTGACATTTTTTCGAATTTTACCTTCAATTTGCTAGAAATAATTACTCTTGTATTTTTTTCTAGATCATTTTTGGTCACCCTGTATAAGTATCATATTGAAAAAATCTAGAGTGCCATCGGATCCGAGTTGGGTTGAAAAATTGATAACGGATCCTAGAACAGATTTGACATCGAATTCAGAATGTAAGCCCCGATTCACCTAGGAAACAAGCTCCCAGAACTGGAGATTTTTTATTAGTAATTTTTAGCGACACAAAAAACGTGTTATGAAACAGGTTTAGTTCACGCCGGACAGACCCATTTCTTGCAATATTTCAGATTGTAACAAAGGTCGTCGGTGATATTATTAAAGTACAGTATATCCACTGAATCAAACCAAAGATAATGGCAGTGACGCACATGGTGGCCGCACTAATTAAAACTACTAGATCTTAGGACGTTTTACAAAATCTACTTCATGTCTTCGATGCCTTACCGAAACTAATACTACGGAGCATATCTTTTTTAAACTCTAGAGCTAGTGACAGTGACAGACCGCAACTAGCATTACAGTACCGTGCGTATTAGTG